TACAGGCAAAACCACTAGTACACATAAAATAAAAATAAATTTAAAAAAACAAAAACAAAGAAAAAGAAAAAATAAGATTGAGGGCCAAGGAAAGTGGGGAGAGCCTTTGATCCTAGCCCTCAGGTGGCAGAGGTAGGGGGACCTCTGTAAGTTTACTATGTGAATGGCCAGGGGATCCCCAAAACAGAAGTTCTGTATCTTTGTTAGGGTCTCACCAAGAAGACCGATGGGGATTGAGGGAGACCCTTGGAGGCGAAAGACTGGTGATCAGCAAGCGCCTCTGGTACATTCAGTGTGCTAGAGAAGAACAGGAAAACACTTGGACGCAAGACTTGGGAGTCAGCCATGCAGTGGGTGGGGGAGCAAGGTCCCTTGGACAAGTAAGGTCCACCCACTTTCAGTCACCACTATTACAGGTTTGGTGGCAGAGGAATCAGACTTTTGGTTTTGTTTTGTTTAGTTTTTTCAAGTCAGGATTTCTCTGTGTAACAGCTTGGCTCTTCTCAGTGTAGACCAGGCTGGCCTTGAACTCACAGCTCCACCTGCCTCTGATTTGGTTTTAATTAGCTCAGACTGGACTTGAATTCCCTACATCATCGTATCATTGTGGGTGACCTTGAACTTTATGTACGTGTGTTAGGAGTGTTAGGAATTGAATTTAGGGGCTCAACATATTAGGCGAGTACTCTTTTCTTTCCTCTTTCTTTTGTTTTTGTTTTTCAAGAAAGGGTTTCTCTGTGCAACAACCCTAACTGTCCTAGAACTCACTTTGTAGACAGAAATCTACCTACCTCTATCTCTTAAATGCTGGGATTAAAGGCGTATGCTTCCAAATTCAGGTTGTTTCTTTGTTTTTGTTTTTGTTTTTTTTGGTTTTTTGTTTGTTTGTTTGTTTGCTTGCTTGTTTTTCGTAAGCACTCTTATCACTGAGCTGTATTTCAAGCCTGCTCTTGAACTTCTAATCCCCCTGCCTCCACCTCCCTAGGGCAGATATTTCCTATGTCAGGTGTGTACCACTAAGTCCTAATTATCCAGAGCTAGGGATCAACCCCAGGTCCTCCAGTATGCTAGGCCTGAGCTATACCTAGTCCAAGAAGTTTGATGCAAATGTTTGAGTTTGGAGATTACCCTGCTTAAGGCTGAGAAACTGAGACAGAAAGGGAGAAAAGGAGCTAACCCAAGGTTGTGCAAGAAACGTTTGGCCCTAAAGTCCTGGAGGAGACCAAATGATGGCTGAAGCACGAAGTTTGTTTCAGTTCTAGCAGGAACGAAAAGTGCTTAAAAGACCCACAAATGGCATTTGAAAAACTTTCCTAGAAGAAGGCAGAAGGTCTCCTGGAGGGAAGCTGGCATCCGGGCAGAGTTCCTGGGAAATCTTTCTCCGGAGCATCTCCCCCACACCCCCAGTTCCAGGTTCATCTCCTGAAAGTCAAAGGACAGTTTGCTCAGCTCTCCCCACCGCATCCCTGTGTCTGGTCCCTAGTTTCCTCATCCGTGGACTGGACCTTGAACTTGGGGAAGTAGCCACTGAAATGGGTCCACTGGGCTGTGGCACAGGGCTGCTGCTCTCTGAGACGGACCCGGGTCCTTCTGTGTCTTCATCCCTGTGGGTTTCCCTGACTCCGCCTAGCTGGGCTCCTCTGAGGTAGTCAAGCTAGACATCTGCTGAGCCATGAATATTCAGGAAGGGAACTGGAGCTCCTGGGGCCCCCCTGCCAGCCACCAGCCCCTCTGGCGGCTGTCCTGCCCGCCAGAGCCCAGGCTGCTGATACCCAGCAGCTGCTCGGGCCCCAACTGTTCACATTGTTTGTTCTGCACGGCAGGGGATTTTCCAAGCCCCGGACGTGCTTTAGGGGGTGGGGAGGCTGCCAGAGGGCTCGGGGATTCGTGTTCTGTGGGTCTTTTTCTCCTCTGAAACCCAAGCCTGCAGTTCTGCCTCGGGAGTAGAGCATTTGAAGCTGCTGGGCTGAGAGCCCATGCTTGCCTTCCACAACTCTGAATTTGAATCATGGAATCTAGGGCTTTAGAAGAACAGAAAGGACTGGGTGCTAAGGGCAGCAAAGAGCATTTGTGTAACTCCTTGCCGTGTGCCCAGGGTCTTAAAGAATGCACCTCTGCAGCTTCGGGTGCAGTCGTGTGGTGAGCTTTTGACTAACCTTACAAAGCCGTTAGTGCTATCCCCAGCACCCCACCAAAAGAGAACGAGCCCCTGTACTTCTTGGATGTCCTTCACGACATGCAGCACTTGGTTGATTCTCAGAGGCTCGGTAGCACCTGCATTTTAAATGTGTGGAAACTGAGTCCCAGAGAGGACACCTGGCTGTAGGGACAGCTGGAAGTTGAAGCAGCAAGACTGGGACCTTGATCTCTCTGCCTCTGCCTCTGCCTCTGTCTATCTCTGTGTGTGTGTGTGTGTGTGTGTGTGTGTGTTGTTTGTGATGTATGTACGCGTTCACGTGTAAGTGTACATGTTGAGGTCAAAGGTCATTGTCTTTTTTTTTTTTTTTAAGTGAGGGCATGGATGAGATGGGGTTCCCTGAGGACAACAAATAGCAAGCAGCTGTACCAGGATGCTACAGCTGAGGAGGAGGCAGCCTAGAGCTGTCTCAGTAGCTGAAGTGTGACAGCAAGGTGAACCCTTTGTTCACCCACAGCTTGTCTGCTAGCCGTGTCCTGGCACCACTTGTACAAATACCGCCTTTCAAGCAACATCATAGTGAAGAATAAATAGAAAGAAATAACAATTTAGAGTTGCTTATTCTATTTGATGTGTATGAGTGTTTTGCTTGTATATGTATGTGTTCATGGCATATACAGGCAAAATGCCTATATACATAAAATTAATAGTAGCAATAATAATACAGGGGAGAAAAGGACAGTCCTAACTGACTGAGGCAAGGGATGAGGGAAGAAGCGTGAAGGAGGGAGGGTCAGCAGGAAGCTGATTGGACCACTGTGCTTACACTATCTGTGTGTTCAACTGTGTGTGGACCTCAGATCCCTTAGAACTGGAGTTACAAATGGTTGTGAGCCACCATGTGGGTGTTGGGACTTGAACTCTGGTCCTATGCAAGAGTACTAGCCTTAATGACTGAACCATCTCTCCTGTTCCCCCTTCCCTCCTCTTCTTTCTCTGGTTTGTTGTTGTTGTTGTTGTTGTTGTTTTTGGGTTTTTTTTTTGTTTTTGTTTTGTTTTTTGTTTTTCGAGACAGGGTTTCTCTGTGTAGCTTTGGAACCTGTCCTGGAACTAGCTCTTATAGCCCAGGCTGGCCTCAAACTCACAGAGATCCGCCTGCCTTTGCCTCCCGAGTGCTGGGATTAAATGTGTGCACTGCTGTCTAACCCCTGGACTATCTTATTCCTCTTTGAAAGCCGGGGGGGGGGGGGAATAATAGGGACACAGAGGAGTCTAGGTGTTGACCAGTGTGGCAGACAGAAGAACACGTATGTAGAGGAACACAGATGAAACCATGTGGGGTGTGCGTGGGATGGTGCTGTGTTTGCTCCGGAACCAATATCTTTGTATCATTGAAGAAACTGAGACCCAGAAGAAGTACTTAGCTGAAGGCATACACCTCCCAGATTGCCTAGCCTTCCTGCTTTGTGTGGCTCTGTCACTGCAGACTTGCCTCATACTGAGGATGTCATCTCTATCCTTGGAGTCAGGACAGAGGCTAAGGGGAGACCTTGGGCTACTGAGTTTTTATGGGACAAGGGGATAGCAGTTCAGCTGTGATGATGGACTCACACTGGGGAACCATTGCTCTGTTATGATGATGGGCAGGCCCTGTTGAAGCATTAATTATGATAAGAAATATTTCCCTCTGCGATTTTTTGTCTTGATTCAGGATAGTGTGTGATCCTCCCTTTGTGGCAGGGGCAGTGCTAGGTTCTATGAAAGTATGCACACACACATGCACGCATGCACGCACGCACGCACGCATGCATGCTCATACTTGCTTTACCCTCATAGCGCGTTTCTCAGAGTTTTCCACCTACAACATTTTTCTAGCCTGTGGTGTGTATTTAGTTGAGTAATAGTGGTGGAGATGACCCATTGGATTCCAAAGGGAATAAAACCACTGAGCCACCACACAGAGCCAGGCAATGCTGCAGTGGGCATTCATGACAGCCCTAAAGGAAAGAATTGCTATGTATTTCTTAAACCGAGATACAATTTACATAGAATTTGCCACGTGTTCAAGTATGCTTTTTTGAGACAGTTTCATGCAACCCAGGCAGGCATCCAAGTTACTACATAGCTAAAGATGAGAATGAACCTCAGCTATTGATCCTCCTGGCTCCATCCCCAGGATTTTGGGATTATAGGTGTGCACCACCCACCCAATTTATGTAGTTCTGGGGTTCAAATCCAGGCCTCACGTCTGCTATGCAAGCAAGCAGTCTACCAACTGAGCTATCTCCTCTGTACCACACCCTTTTACCCTGTGGTTTTAAATATACTAATAAAGTTGTGTTCCTCGACCGCTGTCTAAGCCTAGAACATTTTCACCCCAAGGGAACCTCATGCTCCTTAGCAGTCGCTCCCCCATTCCTCTCTGCTCAACATCCTTGGTAACCGTTAATCTCTGGACATTTCACAGAGATGAGCTCACAAAGTTTGTGGCATCTGGTGGCAGGCGGCTTGCGCTGGGCATGACACTCCCAGGGTTCCTCTGTGCACTAGCCTGCAGAGCTCTTCGTCCCTTTTGCTGACTGAACATAACAGCCGCCACTTATCGGGTGGAAAGCAAACATTTGGGTCTGATCTACTGTCCAGCTGTTGTGGTAGACTGCAGTGAGCTGGGGTTTGTGGTAGGTGAGGAAGCCAAGCTCTGGGAAGATGGGACCCAAGAAGGAAGAAACTTCTGGCAGAGAGAGAACTGGCTTTGATAGACAGGGTCTTTCCATAAGTGATTGGCACCGGGTGTCACTCCCGGTGTCAGTCAGTGACCAGGAGGCCACCCGCCCACAGCCCTGGTGGTTCTTCCTCCTCACAGGGGAGCTGCTGTTGCCCCAGGAGACAACCGTCAAGCTGAGCTGTGATGCAGGGCCACTGCAAGTGGTCCTGGGCCCCCAGCAGGCTGCAGTGCTCGACTGTAGTTTGGGGGCTGCTGCTGCTGGACCGCCAACCAGGGCGACATGGAGCAAGGATGGGGACACCGTGCTGGAACATGACCACCTGCGCCTGCTACCCAACGGCTCCCTGTGGCTGTCCTCACCTCCAGAATCAGAAGACAGTGCTGACGAGGAAGCTTTTAGGACACGAAAGGTCATTGAGGGCAGCTATTCCTGTCTGGCCCATGGCCCACTGGGAATCGTGGCCAGCCAGGTTGCTGTGGTTAAGCTTGCCAGTAAGTGCTTGCATCTGGGGTGGGGGTGAGAACTATGGTTAGTTACCCACACCAAAACCAGGAGCCCAACCCAGGTTATCTGCCCCCTGTCCTGTCCTGCTCAGTGGGTCCCTTCCTGCTATTATCTACCCTTACCATTCAGGGCTCCTTCACCCCCTCACCATCCTTTCCCCACCGTTTGAGTTCTAGTGTATAGGATTAGCTTCTCTGCCAGGAAGAAGTCAGGGCCCCAGAGCTGTCTCTTTGTGTTCCCCACCCACACAGCACTGTGCACAAGGATATAGCCAACCCCTGCCCGCGCTGTGCACAGGGATATAGCCAACCCCTACCCGCGCTGTGCA